CGAAGCTGTGTCATTGCAACACAGCGTCTACCGGGAATCTTTATGAAAACGTAACCATTAGCTTGGCAGATTTGACACATTTTTGGACAGTTTTATACTTTTTAAGATGTTTTAACCAGGCCTATCATAAGATGACTTTTCCCCGATGCACCCTTAAAAAGTGGTTCTTCAAAGGTTCTTTAGTAAAAGCAGTGGTTATATATACAACCAAGAACACTCCGTGAACAGTTACATTGAATGTATAAATGGTTCTTTGCAGGGTTAAATGGTTCTCCTTTATGTGCATATGTAGTTGTTTTTAAAAATGGTTCAGTTCTATTTAGCACAAAAAGGGTTCTACTATTGTTCCAACTCATAGAACCTTTCTTGTACTACACAGAATGCTTTTTGCTATGACTGTAGTGAGGACTAAAAGGATTTCTATTCTATTCAATTAGATTTTTCTGTTGTGAAAAACATGGACTGGCATGGCCTTATTTTTGGAAAGTATCATGATAAAAAGAACACAAAAAAAATGATTTAAAAAGAAAATTGATTCAATGAAAAAGTCAATAAATGCCTAAAAAAGGCCTGAAAAGGGAACCTGAGGCTGTGTCACTGCAACGTAGCGTCTAATTGGAATCTTTATGAAAACATCATCAGCTTAGCAGGTACTTTTGTATACTTTTTAAGGTGTTTTAACCAGACCCATCAAAAAGATGACTCTCCCCCCTCCCTGATGCACCCTTAAAAAGTGTTTCTTTAAAGGTTCTTTAGTAAAGGCAGTGGTCATACACACAACCATGAACAGTCTATGAACAGTTAAATTAAATGCATAAATGGTTCTTTGCATGGGTCTCCTTCATGTTTATATAAGGTTATTTTTAAAAGTGCTTCAGTTCTATTTAGCACAAAAAGGGTTCCATTATTGTTCCAACTCATAGAACCTTTTTGGTACTATACAGAATGCTTTTTGCTATGACTGTAGTGAGGCTTAAAAGGATTTCTGTTGAATTCGATTTTTCCATTGTGGAAAACATGGACTGGCATGGCCTTATTTTTGGAAGGTATCATGATAAAAAGAAAAATGATTTAAAAAGAACATCGATTCAATGAAAAAGTCAATAAATGCCTAAAAAAGGCCTGAAAGAAAAACTGAAGCTGTGTCACTGCAATATAACGTCTTCTTGGAATCTTTATGAAAATGTAACCGTCAGTGATTTATAGTGAATTAGATTGTTCCATTGTGAAACATACAGACAGTATCATGATAAAAATACCTTAATCTAAATAAAATACATAAAAAAGGGAATTGAGGCTTATTTGAAATGTGAAGATGTTACTGTGATCTAATTTCTACTTGAAATCTTTATGAAAATGTAACCAACAAAATCGTGTCAGTATTTTTTTGGACATTTTATTTTTACGCTTTTCAAGATGTTGTTTTTACCACATCTCCTCTGTGCAAGCAAGGCTTCAAATCATTTATACAGCATCTTCACAAAGATGTGTTTCTCACAAACAAAGCCATGCACAGCGGCTTTGCATTAAGCATAAAAGATGAAGAAAGGAAACCAATTCAAGCTAACATGTTCGTTTCTGCAGAAATTCACAGAACAGAAATATCAGGCGCCTCGGATGGTTATCATAGGCCTCATGCAGGTTGCAAAGTTCTCCCTTTTGAAACTTTTTTTTCATTTTGCTGAATCTAAGAAAAAAAAAGAGAAAAGAAAAGGAAACCTCTTATAAAAGGCAGAGACTGAAACTCTTTTCTTGTCAAATCCGCCCACGTTTCCTGGGCTCATTCGTTCCCTCTCTCTCTCTCTCTCTCTCTCTCTCTCTCTCTGACTGGGCTATTGTTAGAGAGAGAGAGAGGGAGAGGGACGTGCAGGACGGGGGGACTTTGCTTCAAACTGACTGCCTCTCTTAAAGACTACTAGACCAGTTACATATGTGGTCTCGTTAGCTAAAAATGTTGACATGGAAACCAGAGCCCATACGTTACAGAGCCACATCAAAGAAGGAAAAAATGGCCAGAGAGAGAGAGAGAGAGAGAGAGAGAGAAAGAAAGAGAGAAAGAGAGACAGAAAGAAAAAAAAAATCTCCTGTCAACGAGACTGTTTGGTGCACGTTGCACCGCAAAAAGTTTAGATACCACACAAGTGGAAAGTTTCCATCTAGCAAAGAAACAAACTGTCTCTCGTCTTTAGTCCTTTTGTCCAGCTGTCCAGCTACTTTTGCACATGAAAAAGTTGCAACATGTGACCTTAAAGCTTTTGTGTCAGACTGCTATCAACTTTAAGTTGTTGTTGCAAATTGTTTGTTAAAAAGTTGCAGCATTTGATCGTAAAGATTTCCTGCTTGTATGAAATTGAATGTTAATATATTTTGCTGTAAATTGGGAGTGAAAAGATATATTTGCTATTAATAGTTTCCCACCAGTATCAAGTTTCATTGTCAAAATGCAAAAAAAGTCACAATATTCAATGGTTAGGATTTTCTGACTGTATTAAATGTGTAAAAAATGAAAAAAATCTTTGGTGAACCCCAAGATTTCTTAAGAGTATTAAGTTGCTTAATATGCTTACATTTTTAAAGCAAATTATTTGTTATAATTTGTAATATTTGAACTTAAAAAATTCCCCTCAGTATGGAATTCATCGCTTAAAACTGCAACAATGGTTTAAGCTTTTAAGCAATATTCCATATTTCATTTCAATGAATAAAAGTACCATTATCATTATTATCATTTCATCTTGAAAATTTCTACCAGTATGAAATTTTACATTTTCAAATGTTTGTTGCAATTTCTTCATTAAAATTGGTGACTTTTGATCTTAAAGATTTTATTTAAAGAATTTAAGACGTTTAATTGTAAAAATGTAAAAATTGTGCACATTGTTCAAAAAGTGTTACATTCTGCAAGTTGAGCAAATGCTTTACTGTACAAACAGCTGTTCATTTACCTCTTATTTGGAGGTGCACATTGTGCATAAGTTACTGATCTGTAATGGGTCTCTAATGTAACATCTTAAAGAAGCTCTAAATCATAAAGACTTTGCAGCATCTACTGAACGACTGCAGAAGCACTACGAGTGTGCGAGAGAGAGAGAGTACTACACGTGAAAGAGTACCGCACGTGAGAGCGAAAGCACAAATAGCATCACTACAACATACACAAAGCATTTCTGGCATGCGCCCCCCCCTCCACCCCATTATCTTGTGTTTCATTAAGAATGTATGACTGAAATTTCCACATAATGTGTGTCATAGCACGAAATGGTGCTTCAGGTTTCCGATTGCTCAATAATGATCTATTTGCCAATTCAATACTAGCAGAGGTGCCTGCTGCAGTATGAATAAAACATTTAATGGGGTTTGGGGGAGTGGGCCGCATGGCAAACCTACAGTATCGCTTTAATTCTGCACTGCTCCAGCATGCAAGAAATCGACCTACAGGATCTCAAAACTATTGTTCTCAGTGCAGTTTCTATGCAGCGGCGATGCTTCTGCCTAAAATAGCATGTAGAAGTGCAGCTCAGGTTGTGAATTCACATCCCATTCAATGTGACGGCTTGAGCTTCAACATACAACCATGTTTACTGATGTTTACCTGAAGTGTTAATGAGAAATGTCTTATGTTTGTCATGATACTTTGTTTAAACTTATGCTTTCATGTGTGCTTTACTGTGTTGTGGTGTTGTTTTACCAAAGAAATAAAGACCATTAGTTCACCTTTAACATTTTTTTTTATTACGGACAAATGAAACAAAAAAGGCATAGTGACACAAAATGACCTGGCTGGCAAGGAAAGAAAAGGCCAGCATCAAAAAAAGTAAAAAACAAAAACCAAAAAAAAAAGCAATCATCATCAAACCAAAAAAAAAAAACAAGCAAACAAACGAGAAAATTCAAATAATGTAGTTATAAGCAAAAATGATCTCATTTTGTTCATAAATAGATAGGAAACCTGTTAAACAATTAAATAACTGATGGGCAACTTGCAAAAAAAAAACAAAAAAAAGATAAGTTGGTAACAATTTAAAATAATTATCATTACTGGCTTTACAAATAAAATAACTACAATTGGCAGGTTTGTACACAAATTAAATGTCTTAAAAGTTATTCTTTTTTCCCCAAACTAAAATATTATGCTACAGTGAAAGAAAGAAAAGTTTGACTAAATGATCAAATGTAATTTTTTTTTTCCACAAAACTTAAGGATGAGATCAACACAATATAACACCTAGCAAAGCTACTAGAAAACTATAGACCCACTGTTGTTTTAAATGTGTGCTGTAATATCTCACATTGAGCGTATTTTAGTTCACCTCTAAATGTTGCACTGGTATGGATTCATCGGTCAGAGCAGGCGAGAAGAACAGCCTTTTTAATCCAGACCTTTGTTTCAAATCTGGGGTCCAATTAGCATGAAAGAGGCCCCTCGTTTTCTCCCATCTGAAACGTACAACCTGAGACACGACAGCCAATCCGATCGAGACAGAATTTCTTAAAACAAGCCTGGGTACGGAACCAGGCTTGGGCAGTCGAGGCTTCCGACTACACGACATGGCCAGAGCCGCGCCTCGTGGAGCCCAAGTGGAGAGCCAGGTCATACGGTCGGACATGGCGTTGGCCATCCGTCTTTATTTGAAAATCCCACCAGTGAGCACAGATTTAATGCAAGATTGTGTTTTATGTGAAACACTCCTCCGATATCACCTGCACAGGCTGATCAATTTTACAACTCACGCACACACGTACATACACACTCGCACGCGCTCAGTCACATACCAGCACACGCTCACAAGATACCATTTAAAATACAAATTAATGAATTATAAGTCATATTAAAGAAGAAAAAAATATCTGGACTTCATTTTTCCCAATTTGATCCCCAAAAAAGTGATATTTACAATCACACTGTGACAGATCATTAAAGACCTCTGAAGGTCTTTAAAATTACAAAAAGAAGTTGTTAAATTCATTTATCTATTCAGTTGTTTTCTGTTTTTTTTTCTTTTCTTTTCTGTCCTTACTAATATCTTCAAAATTCACAGAGCATCAGGTGGACCTACAGTAAGTTGTCGGCCTTTGATGACTTCATCAGAAGAGCATTTCTCTACAGTACAGGACCTGTTATTGGCAAAAAAAAGCGATGTAGCAAGCAAGAAATAAATAAAACATAAAACGAGAGCATGAAAAAGTAACCGAGAAGAGGAAAGCTTTCCTCTCTTTTAGTTAAAGCTCATTTGCCCTGAGGGCCAGTTTTACGGTAGTTGTTTGTTTGTTTGTTTTCTTTTTTTTCCTTTTATATATCTCTTTTTTGTCTTTTTTTTTTCTTTATTCAGAGAAAGAATGAGTGCTCTGGAAGGTCTCCAGTGGGAGGCCTATACATTTTAAGTGCTTGGCAAAAAAATGAGAGGATCACTAGTAGTCTTCAGAACACGCGCACACATCCTTCTAAAAACGAATGAAAAATGACACTGAGGAAAAAAACGGAGGGTGTCGGGGAAGGGTGGAGAGGTGTAGGGTACTCCCTGGTGTTGTTTCATCACTTTTTTGTCTTCTTCCTCCTCAATTCACTTCAAGTGAGGTAGAGTGGCTTGTCCCTGCCTATCATGCTGCCACTGTAAGATCAACACACAGAAGCAAGTGAGATTAGCACTGAATGTTGTGACAGTTTGACTTGAGTCACTGTGCAAAACTCATTTGGTCAAAAAAATCTGTGAATATTCAATCCATAAAAATCCAAACATGACAAGATAAATACATGCTTCTAACTTCAAACTGCTAGTTTACACAAATACTGTGAAGATCAAACGTATATCTATATTTCTGGGCAGTTTGTATTTATATGTTCAAAAAGCACTAACATCAGAATAAATACATATAAATAAATAAACAACACATTGTGATTTGATATGCGTGAGCGTCTCCAAAGCTGTGAGTGTCTCCAAAGCTCTCCTCGGGGAAATCCAGTATTTACAGCTACCATCTAATACCTAATTTATCTAATCCATCCTGCGTTAAACTAAATCAGGTTCTACTGATGGAAAGCGAGTAGTCAGGAAGCAAACGTGTGCTCTTTAAACTGCATTCATTTACTTTCCTTAATTAATTTCTGTCCCTTTTTATTGTATTTAGGTTTATTTGTATTCCAGCTGTCACAATTACTTCATTTAAATTGATTAAAAAAGAATCAATTAGAATTTACGTCCTCAAGGAATCGGCTTTCTGATTAGTTTGCAATTTGAATGATAAACAGGGAATCTGCAGGTTATGTTCAGCAGTCTGAACATTCTCCACAAGGTGGAGCTATTAGCACTGGTCACTTTTGTGTGCTTTACTGAAACAGAGGAAACCCACACCAGCAGGACACCACTAATGCACTTATGTCTGCAGTTAGAAATGTCATATAAAGTATAATGTAATGGGAAGACGTGTCGATACTATTGCTCAATAACCATCAAAGTAATTTCTAGATTACTTGATAACTAATATAATCAATAGTGACAGCTTTAGTATCTTTTCCACAATTATGTAATGTTTCACAAGGAAAAACACATTTACTGCCAACAGAAACAGTGTTAAACCCTTTTACCCAGTACTGCATGTGAAAACATACAACTCTCTAGTTTAGAATTATTTTTTAAATAAAAGAACCCAGTGGAACAAAAAAGAGGTTCTTTGGAGTGACAAACTTTTTGGTTCCCTAAAGAACTTTTCAGTGGGTGGTTCTTTAAAGAACCATTTCTGTAAATAAAATGCACCAGTGTGAAGAACGTTTTGAAAGTTTGAAGAGCCTCTACATAATGTAAAGGTTCTAAAGCAATTAAAGGTTTTGGTGACTTTAGGTGGCTTTAGGAGCCATTATTTTTAAGAGTGTACCTCAGAGGTTATTGTTATTCACATATGAAAGTTTTCTATGACACTTAAGCTACTCTTCCAGTCACTCAGTCAAACACAGCACACATATGGGGAGTAGAGCAGACCACAGAACTGGGCAGCAAAATGCCACAAATGAGGAAGCACTGGCACTTGCAGGCTCAGTGTGCTGACAGTGGCCTGGCTGGTGCATCTAATAACCACACACAGCTCAGCTGATTCAAGCCTGCCTGACATCTTCTTCCAGCAGACTCATAACTACATGATGAGTGTATTCTGGGACTAGTGCTACAGGCTCTCTGCTAGGCAGTGCCTGGAAAGTAGGAATGTTTACTGGGCAGTGAGGTTGTCAGTGTGATCTCTTTGGTGACAGACACCGCTAAGGCTAGTCGCACAATTGCTACGACTGGCAGGGAAATCATCCCACTTTGGAAGTTGCCATATCATGGTGTTGGCAACTGCAAAGGGCACTCTCTAACAGACATACTCGGTCCAGGTGCTTGTAGGAGTGGGCGATATGAACATCAATTTATATCATGATATTTTCCAATCGCAGGCACAAGAACGATAGGAAAATAAATAAATAAATAATAAATAAAAATAAATAAACAAATAAATGAATGTTAGTAGTGTTAAATAATTACCTTGTGCTGCAACATTATTTGAAAAATTCTATGTTTTTTAAACTTGGAAACTACAAAGCCAAACCAATGTGGGCTGTTTATGATCTACCTTTTTTGCAGTGTTTCATTTTTATATTGCATGGCAACCAAATCATTAAATCATTCAATCTTTAACAAATCATTAAAGAAAAAAATATATAAAATAACATGTTTGTTGATTTTCTAAGTAGGAATAAGTTCCAGAGAACAAACGTAAACATGGTATTTTGAATTTTTCTGCACATTTTATTGTATAGGTTCTATTTGTTTGCTGAGTTTAATACATCGGGAAAAAATATAAAATTTTATATCTTTTTTTTCTTTTCCAATGTGTTAGATTCAGCAAATAAGTTATTGTATAAGTTATAATCTATTGTCATTCCTCAATATAACTTGTATACATTGGAATGAAACTTGTTCTTCAGGCCTCACAATGCAACACGCATCATCACTTACACAGGGTCACACAGAGTGCAGATACACGACGGTGTGAAACAAGTGCAGAACATACAATGAATATTCTGCACTCGTTTCACACTTCCATGTGTCTGTACTCTGTGTAGTAAATAAACAGTAACTGTATTAAAATGTGCAGAAGTGTGTTCTCTGCAGAGGATGTGTCCACTAATTTTCATTTAGAAAATCAACAAAACATGTAATTTGACCAGGGGTGCCCAAAGTTTTGCATATAGCTATAAATGCAAATATCTAAGTATTTTACTGTGGCCAATCAGAATTTAGAATCTTAACTATCCATTTTCACAATAAACTGTTTTGATTAATATTAAATTTAATTCGAAGCTATAGACACAGCCTACCTAGCAAGAAGCTAACAAGCCTAGCACGATGCTAGCCCACAAAGGCAGCCTTCTGAAACTTGTTGGGAAAACTATCTAAATGTCAGCAAATCAACAAAAGCTTCCAGCAGAACACGGCCTGAAAAGTAAACAGCCCACTCATGGTGGACACAGCTCATCTTCAGGAGTGGAAAGGCCTGAGCTCCACAAATCCACCCAGCAAGAAATAACAGGCAGGTTAGGTGCTGGCATGCAGGCTCGCCCATTGAGAAGAAAGGAATGAATGCTTCTTAATGAGAAAGGGCCCTCTTCTGTTCTTATGCTGCATCTGTTCTTCTAACAGAACCTCTAATCAGGCTGTGTCAAATAATGCAGCTAAAATGTAACAGGTACAGTATCTGATAACAGGCTGACAGTATTGATAGTTTTTAAAGAGGCCAAACAATAATCAAGGACTTAACTGAACAGTAAGAAACATTCTAATACACTTAGAAAAGGTGGACAGATATAAAGAAAATTCATTAAAAATAAATTAAGTATAGAAATACTGTGTTGCAAAACATACAGCTGTATGCAAAGGTTTGTACACTCTGGTCAAATTACATGTTTTCTTGATGTTCTAGGTGAAAATAAGTGAACACATCCTCTACAGAGAACACACCTATATAAGCCATTTTCTGCAAATGTCAGTGCACATTTTTTTAAGTCTCTTTGAAGAGTCGATGTCCAAAATGCATTATACAACCACTTTCAAGAACTTTCTTTTTTTATGATTATGTTGTTGGGAGTGGGCTTTATGCATACAAGAAATATTACTGCTATATTTTGATTAATACCTCCATTATCAGAGCATTAAAAAGTGTTTTCCATTATTCGTCAGCTGTCATTCTTTTCAACTCATTATATTCAAAATTGTTACACATGGATATAAAACACTTGGGAATGAAACCCTTCATGTATTCACAATATCTAACATGGAAAAATAAAACATAAAATGTGCCATAACTTTTGCATAGGCCACTTTTTATGTTTTCATTTTTGTCCAGTATGTTAAATTCAGCAAATGAACAGTAATTGTACACTACAGTGTGCAGAAGTGTGTTGTGTGTGGAGGATGTGTTCACTTATTTTCACTCTTAAGATCTGACTAAACATGTCATTTGACCAGGGGTGCTAATACTTTCGCACAGCCCTGTACAACTGTGTATATCCATAAAGCTTACAGCTTTAGTGGTTGGTATAGCACAGAGGGTAACATCACTGCCCTCCATGTGGCATTTTAGGGTTAGATTGGGGTTCTACTCCCTGCTTGGGCGAGCACACCACCCTATACTAATAAGAGCCCTTGGACAAGACTCCAACATCTGTAACATGATTAAAACGCTCGTCTCTCTGGATAAGAGCGTCTGCCAAGTGCATAAAAATTCTAAGAGGGAGCAGTAAAAGAATTTATGCATCATCATCATCATTCAAATTGCTAATCATTGCTGATTCACTGAGAGGGTCTATTATAATAGTTTTTCTTTAATTGAATAATCAAGTTTAATTAGTTCACTGCCAGCCCTAATCTGATATGGGAACTGTGTTTGACAAGAGTGGAAGAGAAGCCTCACACACACACATACAGACACACACACAAACATGCACACACACCTGCAGTGGTTTCCTCCACACTCCCGATTGCAGTACTCACTGTCCCAGTCAGGATTCTGTCCCACTGGGTTCGGAGCCCCAGGAGACTGAGAGCCACCCACAGTCTTCTGATACTCTGACTGTAAGTGAGAGAAGCCCTGTGGAAGAGAGAGAGAGGGAGGGAGAGAGGGGGAGAGAGAGAGAGAGAGAGAGAGAACCCTCATTTACTGCTACCTCCACAGTAATTCAAAATATTGATTTTTTTTCATCAAATTCTACAGTGATAAGCAATTTAAAAAGACAAGACGGGAGAAGAGGGGGGCTACACTTCAACAATTTCAATCTTCAAACTGTAACCTCCCTCCTGTGTCTTAAATGTTTTTTGGTTGCTTTACAATTACGACTCTGCAGAGAGGTGCTAAGCAGAGACAGCCAGTTTCTAAAATCAGACGCTTTCACTCAGCTTCACACGTTGCAGGTCTCTGCTGATTCAGATGACACCTCCATACACACCTCCATCTCGCAAAACAACACACCAACTGAGCCGACCCCCCCCTTCCCCCCCCTCACAAAACATCACACTTCATTACAATATACCCGCTGTAAACACACACTATAGGAGAGCTGTGTTTTTCTTCACTTTAGCTGCTGGGAGGTGGCGGCTCAGGGTTTTTAGTAGCACTTCTAAAATCTGAAAGCACCACTCCTGAGTGCTCGCCGCACAAACTGCAGGGAGATCTTTAAAACCTGCAGCACCAGTCGAAACTTTAGATACGTCGACTTTTATAAGTGCACAGTCAGAGTCAGAAGTATTGGCCTTCGACTAAACAGTGTTATTTAAACCCACCTCACCTCACAACACAGCTGATTTGCTCAAATTAACAAGCACAAGTATTCCACTAATGAACTTTTAACAAGGTACACAAAGTAAGGAGAATGATATGAAGCCTTTTAAAGACTTTTAAAATTCTAAATTTCTCTAAAGGTTAGAAGGAACACTTGCTTAGTGGGGGGGAGGGTGGTATTCATGTTCTATATGATTCCGTGTTCTATTTGATTTCATACATAGGCATCAACTTCACTATTTATAGCTAAGCATTTAAGCACAAACTTTCTGATCAAACAGTTTGGTGATAAATCTAATTTATACATACCCCAATTATAGTCAGCCCCCAAGACATGTTTGGTGTAAAAAAAAATTAAGCATTTGAAAATGGTTAAGTGATGTACAGGGGTGGAAAATACTTGTACCTTGTTATTAAACTTAAGCATTATTTTGGAAGATTTGTACTCCTTACAATTTCATTTGGGCCTTCAAAGTACTTACAAATCTCATACACTCACAGAAATAAAGGTAGTAAACTGTCACTGGGGCAGTACTCCGCTTGTCACTGGGGTGGTACCCTCAAGGGTACGTCTCAGTACCTTTAGCCAGGGAACATAATTGTACCATAATCCGTCTCCAGGCTTTTTACTTTATTGTTCTGTTTTAAAACATTAGGTTATGAAAAGGTACAAATATATACTTTTCACTAATTTAAGGTCCACAATTGGACCCTAAAACTACTGTTGTACCTTTGAGGGAACACTTACATTGTTTGTACCTTGATTACCGAAAAATGTACCTGCGCAGAACCTTTATTTCTAACAGTGCAGGTGCTATTCTGTGACACTACAGATTAGTGGGTGCTAAATGAATTGAGATTAGTTGGCATGTATATTCAGCTACAGTAATGTTTAATAACATTTACCATTTTTAAACACGTTCTACTTGTATAGATGTGGCCAAGGTAGATTTTCTGTAGCCTCCTTAGAGCCCCACTGTGCTGCTTTAGATGCTTTGTACATAACTTACATTATACCTAAATATCTATTAAATTCACTTTTACCTTCCCTAAGACAAAACCTGGCCCTAATCCTAACCTTAACCTTAACTCTAAGCCTAACTCAAACCTGGTCCAAATCCTGCTGACGTTCATCAGTTCATTTGTTAACAATTTGAACATCTGTGGATAATCTATAGGGGGCTACAGTGTTCTATCCACATAAAGTGAAGCCATATGTTTGGCGCATACTTACCTTTTAGTTGGGTAAGATTTTGAAGCAGTGCCCATATTTTCACTTAAGAGCAGTTGTGTGCTTTTTACATCGCTGATAATGGACGTAACTATCTATTACTTGTTAGCTACATTATCCTCCTAACTTCTGTGTTAAAGAAGCAAACCTTGGACACCAAACATGTCTTGTCTCATTTGGTGTAAGAGAAAAAACAGCAAATTAGATTTTTCGCCTGATGAGTCCTTTAAGACTATATCCGGTCAAGTGTGGCCAAACTTTAGAGTGGTAAACCCTTTCAAATGTGTCTTCTAAGGTTAGCTGCTTTATGTATTGTGACAGGAATGAGCATCTCCTGAGCATCAGCATCTCTGTAGCATCGACTTTGCTCCCTCTTTGCGCACTAACCTGCTGTCCTGGAGGCGGGGAGTGGAGGGAGGCCTGGAGGCCCATCTGGTGGGAGATGATTGGCTGTGACTGGACCTGCTGCATGCGGATGGGCTGGTTGAGGAGGGAGCCCTGGTGCAGGGAGAGCTGCTGGTGCAGGGGGGGGCTGATCTGGAAGGAGGCGGGTGGGGAGGCGCTGAGGGCGGGCAGCATGGCCGAGCGCGGCAGGCCGTGGCGGGGCGCCCCGGCCGCGTAGCTCTGCAGGTCGGACAGAGGGAAGGGGCTGGGGCCCAGGTAGGGGGAGGAGGGCTGGGGGTGGCACACTGTACAGCGGAGGGTTGGGGGGCATCATGTGTGACGAGGGTTGGCTGGACTGGGCATTTTTGCTCTCCACTGGGTCATTGTAGGTCTGAGAGAGAGAGAGAGACAGTGAGAGAGAGAAAGATGGATGGAAAGAAGCACAATCAGAGATCAAAGAAGTCTGAAAACTTATCACAGAGCACAGACTCAGAGCTTAAAGTGATGGTTCACACAGTTTCAGCCGTCGCATGTTTGACGTATGAAGTTTGCTTCTTTACTTTTGCACTGGAGCTAAGCGGATAATGTGGCTAACAAGTACTGGAGGATTATAGTCACCAGTTAGCATCATACAGATTGCGTGCCTGGATCTTCACACATTTGCCTCAAACCGCATGAAGATGTTAAGTAATAGTCTTGTTTATGTGGTTTCTAACACCATATGACTCACTGTTATGCACAGCATAGCAAAAAACATCACGAAGCCTGACATTTCTCTTTATTTTTGTTCACTTTTACAGATAATAGTATGTCATACAGTGTTAGAAACGACATAAGCATGACCATTTGAAATTACCTAACAGTATAACATGATTTGAGGTAATTTTGTGCTGATTTAAGGACTCATATCATGGAAAACTGAACAAAAGTCAGATGTAGTAGTGTAAACAAAAGTTAAAGTTTTAAAACATACTGCACTTCCCAGGCCACCCTTCTCACAAAGGTAAAACAAGCCTGTTTTAAATCCATTTTTGGTGGTCAATATTGCAAACAATAAATTTTACAAGTCTGCAAAAGTTTGCACAGCCCCAATCAAATGAAATGTTTTGTTTGTGTTCTAAGTGAAAATACGCTAAAACTTCCTGTAATGCACAATTGAATGTGAATTGCTGAATTTAACAAAACATAAAATGTGCCCTGTGCACATTTTATATTTTCAGATTTCAGTTCAGCAGATACAGTTAAACTGTGAACTAAAATTTCGCTCGTGTCAGAACAGTCTTTCAGTTTTTGACATATTTCGAAAACAATTGGTGCCCCTTACATTGTGCGTAAATTTTATGACGAATGGACCAAAAGAATGACTCAAAATTACTTGGAAAAAAGTCTGGCTCCGTTGACTTACATTAAAAGTAAAGTATGTTTTTTCCTTCTTCTGTAAAGTTACCAAGGTTTTATTCCTTATGTCCAAAAGAATAATGTAAGATAAGTATACCTTTTTAAGAGTGTAGTTTGCATGATGCTAACTGGTGACAATAGGCTTCCATTACTTGTTAGCCGCACTAGCCTTTTAGCTCCAGTGAAAAAAATAAAGAAGCAAACTTCAGACACCAAATACAGCATGTCCAGGCTGACTGGCTATGTCTGAGTAAGCGGAAAGTTAGATTTGACTTTTGGCTGGACCATGGCTTTAAATCAGGACTATAAAAAAAAGACCACATTATACTGTAATTCCAAATTCAGGCAGTTTAACTGAGTGTTGAAAAAGGAGAACTGCCCGAGGCTCTTCTCCAATTTAAGCAAAACCAGTTATGTCACTTAGTTTGTAATAACATTGCTGGACAAAACTTCTCATGCATGCACGGCAAAAAACAGACATATAATTCCAATTTGGAAAAAACGGAGTAAAACATACAGACCGTGCAAAGCAGTTTGCGAGAAATGACTGCAATGAATTGCTTCTTTAAAGTTCTCTACAGCACAGACCCACAGATTCTAAATGGCAGTGTTTTATAGCGTATGATGAAAAGCCGAGGCTTTCGTTAGCTGCCACAATAACCGGCGTGATCTACGATCAGACTACTTATATATATTGAACAGCGAGACAGGACTGATCGATATGAAAATTGTAGACGGATGAAGGGAGAGATGCATTTGCAAGACTGAGTGGAAAAAAACCAACAGAGAGGAAGTATGCGAGTGCGCGTGTTTGATAGAAGTCACCTGCTCCTGGAAATTTCCAAACATATCCATCTTAAAATTAAACAAGGGGGCTTGGACCTCCTCCAGGAAGTCATTTTTTATCGCTCTATGCCATACCAACGCTCGAAAAGCCTGCGTTTACATAAAACCTCAGAGCCACGGATGTATGGACATAGGATACATTTCATGACGTTCAATTAACCACCTCATATGTCAAGAAACAGTGCAACATTTTAGACAAGCACCTCGAAGCATTCATTCATTTCTGCTTTTTTCTGCATAGTTGTGCGCTACATGTGAGATGCAAGACCAAAATACATCAGAGTTTTCGCACCAGATGTGTCTGAGAGAAATGCTAATATATCATTTGACATTAGTATTACGCCTGAAGAAGGAGGAGGGCCTCCTTTAAAAACGGGCTGCCATAATCATCCGACGCACATTCACAGAGACAAAACATGCACAATAACTTATTAACCTACAAAATGCCGCCAGGTGCGTACCCGATCCAAGAGCTGCAGAAAAAGCCCACTGCTCCAGCCCGCACACAATCATTTCTGTCTTTCAGTACGGTTTAAGTATGCTCTCCACCAGCTCTCCGAAGAAACATATGAAAAATAACATCCTTTAAGAACAACAGTCATTTTCGCTACATAAATATATGTTTCAAGCCTCGAAGACTCTGAATGTGCTGCGGATTTTGGTGGTTATTTCATATTTCTGTTCCTTTTTTTTACAGCTCGGTATTTTCTTTCTTTTCAGTGCCTGCTGGTTCACAGACGCATCAATCAAAGTGTCTGCGAGAAACAGATTTTGACGAAATATTTAATTACGCGAGACGAAGGACGAGAAAGGCGTTTAATAGGAGCTGCTGAGGGAGGAGGCTTGATGAATACACCATTCACGGCTTAATCAAGCCTCTTGTTTTGGGCCAAAGAGCTTAGAGACAGAAGTATAGAAAAGGAAGGAGGGAGAGAGAGGGAGGGAGAGAGAGAGAGAGAGAGAGAGAGAGAGAGAGAGAGAGAGAGAGAGAGAGAGAGAGAGGGAGTGAGAGACAGGGTGTTTAGCATGAAAATGCAATTTATGTTTTTTGAAAAGGAAAACAATGGCTGTGAAATTAGGGGTATGAAAATGGTGTGTTTTATTATGTAGATGAAAATATGCAATGAAACGATCCATTACGCGGCTCCTGTTGAAACCAACCTGAGATGAATCGCTTTCTGTAAATTAGAAACATGCCATCGATCTATGGATTTTGCAGCGTTATGAAATGAAGACAAATTGAGTAACGTATCAGTACGTGGGGATCTAATGGATTTAGTTAAAAGTAATCCAGGCGATTCCACATACTGTTCATAAATTAGCTAATCATCTGATTGGAGAAAAAAAGAACACTGTGTCATTATGTAAGCAATACGTAACGGTTTATGAAGGGTTCTTTGATGAAGGCAATGGCTATATATAGGCCTCTGACACCGCAAGAAGCATTTGCATAGCTAAATAGTTCTTCTCTATGATGGGAAACCTATTGCATATCACTGTTGTCGGAACAAAACCTTGTATCTTCCAAATGTTAACTTTACAGGAGAAGGAAAAAACATAGTTTACTTTTAATGCAAGTCAATAGAACCAGATTTTTTTCCAAGTCATGTTGGGCTGTTTCTTTTGATCGGTTCATCATTAAATTTATACACAATATAAAGGGCAGCAGGCATTTTCAAATTATGTCAAAAACTGAAAAACGGATAACTTTTTTAAATAGTTATTATATGTTTATAACCTGGTTATGATACTAATAACTGCCTTTTAAAAGTCATACAACCTTTTTTTGGTAGTATACAGGATCCCTAATAGCTAAAGAGTGCTACAGACTTTATTTACCCAAACTAAAGGGGCTATCTGGGGTCTAATTTAGCATGGTCCCATTCCACGTATGCATGCACACATTCATACCCCCACAAAATGCTCTCACATTTCCCCTGACAGCCCCTCCCTGGAGATTCTGCTGAATTCTCCATCTAATGTATAATATACCTCATCCCCCCATCACCGCTGACCGTACATATCAAAGACATGACCCCCTCCTCCCTAGGTTACCTTGGAAACCAGGCTAGCTCGGTACGCTGCCAGGGCCTTCAGGTACTCCTTCTTAGCCGCTTCTGTTTTTCTCTTATACCCCTGAGAGAGAGAAAGAGAGAGAAAGACAACAGTGATTAGAAACACACAGGACTTCAGACACTTAACCTGAATGTGGTCAGAGTCATGTCAACCACATTTGATCCCCCATGTCCAACATACTTCCCAATATCTTATCACAGTCGGAAAAAAACCATATGAACCCTTTTCTCTGCACCCGTCCATATGGATTATTGCACAAAACTCAATTATGGGGCAACGTTTTAGAAGGGTAATTTCATAAACTTCCCAAAGAAGCACTCGCTCAGACAACATTCAGAAAAGAGCAAAGAAGAAAAATAAAAAAAGAAAAAGAAATCAGTTTGGGTTTTAGCATTTCTGCTGGAGAGTCCATTAAGAAGACACATCGTTCTATCAGAGTGGGTGTCACATCAGAGAAAGAGCACAAAGAGAGAGAGTGAGGGAAGAAAAAGACGACAGGGTTTAACAGGGAAGGCAATCTATAGCAACGGAATGAAGTCACCGAGAAATGGTGAGATTGGAATGTAGGCTAATGTAATGGCATGTCAATCATTTCACCGTCTCTGAAAAAAAAATCCATTCGCTAAGAAATTGAGCGGGACAACAGCATGGCTTTAGCAGATGAGAGAATACATGGTTTAAATTGGTGAAAAGGAAAAAAACAACAACAACAACACAAACATACTGAATTGAGCAGCAGCACTGCTTTAATTGATGAGAAAAACAACATTAAATGGAGGAGTTTTCAACGGTGTTCAAACTGATGGCAATAAAAACCCATTCACTCCAAAAATGAGCCAATGAGAGACAATATGGAGTAAAGTGGTGAAAACCAAACGCCGCCACACTAAGTAGAGGAGTGGCACTAGTTAATGAGAAACTGATGAGAGAAACAACATTAAGGTGATGAGAATAGCAACAGTGTTGCTGATCTAAACCGATGGGAGAAAATATTTTACAGAAAATACAGTGTAAATTGGTGAAAAAACACATTCTCACATTGTATTGAGTAGAGTTGAGAATAGCAACTGAGCTAATGAGACACAATACGATAAACTGGTCTCACATTGTACAGAGGGGAGCATTCAAGGAGACCTACTTTACTCTTTTTTTCTCAATTAAATATACCTCCTTGTGTTCTTTGAAAGACATCTGTGATGAGTACACTCTCAAAACTGTCACTGGGGAAGTGCACAACTGTAGCATAATCCACTGAAATTATATTTTCTAGGTTGTATTGACTCCACACACCCCGTCTCGTCTCCAGGCTTTTTATTTTATTGTTCTGTTTTAAAACATTTGGTTATGAAAAGGTACAAATATGTACTTTTCACCTGGAAAAACTTATTTAAGGTTCACAACTGGACCTTAAAACTACAGGTGTACCTTTGAGGGAACATTTACATTGTTTGTACCTTGATGAACGAAAAATGTACCTTTACATTACCTTTATTTCTAACAGTGTAGAGAAAAATTCAGTGTTCAGTCAGTTCTGTGTGTTTTAACCTAGAATTCTCTCATCTGTGTAGAAAGGCTCTGGGTGGTGATTCCATATTCAAATAAAAAGATTCTCAGTGGCTGACCAGAACACATTTATGGGCGGGGTCGTCAATGCACTGCTGTGTATGGTAAAATGGCTGCAGTGGACCACAGCATTGTGAGACTGTATAACGCCATGTATCAGAGCGGTGCTGTAGAACACGTAGAGGAGTTCATGTTCATTTTTACACTGTGCTTGATTAAATCTAACGAAATAAAATGTTTAACATCATTTGTCATTTATTGGTTTCCTTTAAGGTGATGAATATATAACATTCATTCAGCTTTCATAAGGCTACATGACATCTACATAAGCCTATTATGACAACTGTCGTTAACATTTATAAAGGCTTCCAATAAGCATCAGTTTAGCTTCAGTCAGTTTTCACCCCAGAAAGTGTTAGGGTAACTGACGCTTGTTGGAGTGAGCCTTTATACGTGTTTATATACACACTTAAAAATGATGGTCCTCAAGGGTTCTTAGTAAGGAAATAGTTCTACATAGAACCATGAACACTCAAAGAACCCTTTGCATCATGAAAGGGTTCTTCAGATTGATGGAGAATCCCTTTTTGATAAGGGTTCTACCTAGCACCAAAAGTGTTCTTCTATTGTTACAAGCTTGACATCATAACAATAGAAGAACCCTGTTTAGTGCATATTCACAGCACATTCACCATCAATCTGAAGAAGCATTTCACGATGCAAAGAACACTTTAATCATGCAAAAGGTTCTTTGAGTGTTCATGGTTCTATTTAGAACCATTTTATTGACTAAAGAATCCTTGAAGAACTATCAAGTGTGTAGGCCATGAAAGGCTTATGTAGGTGTCATGTAGCCTTATGAACACTGCCCTGTGCAGAGTACAGCAGTGGTGTTTAAGCTGCTAAGGAAGAAAAACAGTGATGGAAATCAGCTTAAACTGGTTGGAAAATATATAAAAAAAAAAACATGTCGCCACATCGTATTAAGAGGCATAACAGCACTGATGAGAAAAGAACAACATTAAAGCGATGAGTATGGCAATGGTGTGTTTTTTAGGAAAAAAAAAGAAAAAACAACGCTGCCATCTCTCCCTGGGGAGCTTGTTACAGGGTGGAAAGATGGAGGACTGGAGAGAACAATGATTTAAACATTTACATATGGCTGGGCCCGGGTCTGCCTACTATACTGTGGCTAGAGTTACCATTAAGCTTTAATGAACATATGCATGACTACGGACAGAAACACAGACACATGGCAGACACAGCAGACGCACATCCACACGTATGTATACAGACACAGAGCTGAGCCCCTCCTTACCGAGAACACAGCACACACACACACACGGCCAGCAACGTTCCCACATAAGGCTCCCGAACGTACATACACAAACCGAAACATCTGTCTAATCTGATTATGGAGGAGAGTCAGAAAGCTGGAAGTAGCCGACAGCGGCCGCTGGGGTTAAATTAAAAGGCCGTCCAGTAAGTGACTTCTTTTATTCCGTTCACACCGTCTGAAACATAAAAACACCAAACAAACGGCAACAGAGACCCTTCGCTATTATTAGTAGATTATTAGTCTTAAGCATTTTCAGATAAGGCAGCCGGGGCTAAGTTTGAGAGCCCGCGTCCTGACAGTTAAATATTGAACGAGGTTGTGTGGCTTTTGTAATAATGAACTCCCGAGGAGCTCCCGGCAGCTCTGCTTTCAAATTAATTTAACCCGAGCTAATGAGTGGCCCTAACGACAGCAACTCTTAAATAAATTAGCACGCCTAAGGATTTCTAATTATTCCAAAGTGAGCGGATTCATTAGCAATTGAAGCCGTCAGAGAGAGAGAGAGGGAGGGAGAGAGAGAGAGAGGGACAGGGAGAGAGGGAGCAGGTCGCGATGAATTAGAAATAAGGAAGGGGATGTGCTAGAGCGAGGGAGCACATGTTGCCTTCTTAATCCCGACATGGCGGGTGTCCCCCCGCAGAATTATCTGGTAATTGTACCTTAATGAAATGTTCCTGTTTGATAACCGGTTAATTATGGAAGACAATAACTCGCGGAACCTCCTGACACGAGGGAAGGGGCGTATACCCTCGGGGAGGGGGGCATGAGAGAGAGAGAGAGAGAGAGAGAGAGAGAGAGAGACAGAGTGAGAGAGAGAGAGAGAGAGAGACACACACACACACACACACACAGAGCTTGTTAGAGAGGGACCACTCTACTTCAAGGGATGTTGTTAAAGAAATATGGAAATCTCCATCTCTCTCTCATACACCTTTCTTCTTTCTCACTTGTTCTTTTCTTCTACCTCTCTCTCCTCTCTTACTCTCTCTTCCTTTCTCTCTCGCTCTGCTTCCTTCTCTTTTCCTCTCTTGGTTTTTTCACACTATTCCACCTTTTTTCTTTCTGTCTCGCTCTCTTTTCTTCTCTTGCTCTTTTTTCTCTTTCCCTCTCTCTTTCTTTCTCTCTGTCTCCTTTTTCTCTTTTCCTCTCTTGCTCTTTTTTCTCTACCTCACTCTCTTTCACTGTCTCTTCTCTTTCCATATCATGCTCTTTCTTTCATTCTGTTCCCTTTTGTTTTCTCTCTCATTCTTTTCTTCCTCTTTCATCCCTCGCTCTTGGTCCATCTTTCTCTTTTTTTTACCTCTTTCTCCTCTTTCGCTCTTTCTTTCTATCTCTCTCGCTCTGCCTTTTTTTTCTTTCCCTCTCTCGCTCTTTTTTTATACTATTCCACCTTTTTTCTGTCTCACTCTTTCTCCTTCCTCTCGCTCTCTTTTTTTTCTTCTCTCTTTCTTTCTTTCTCTTTCCCTCTCCTGCTCTTTTTTCTCTCCCTCTTTCTCTTTTTCTCACTGTCCCTTTTTCTTTCGCTCTCACTCTTTTCTTCCTCTTTTTCAGCCCTCGGTCTTTCTCTCCAATCCAATCTTTCTCTCTCTCTTGCTCTATCTTTCTTTCAATTTTACTCCTTCTTCTCACTCTCTATCTCTTTCCCTCTCTCTCTCTGTCTTTCACATTTTCCCCATTTTTTCCTTTTCGCTCTCACTCATTTCTCTTTTCTCACATCTCTTTTTTCTATACTCCTCTCACTTTTCCCTTCTCCTTTTTTGCTCTATCCTTTCTCTCCCACTCTTTCTTTTTTCATTCCCTCATCTTTTTTCTTTCCCTTTCCTCCATCCATCTCTTTCCATTTCCTTTTCTTTCTTCCTCTCTTTCTGTTCTCTCCCTCTTTTCCCTCTTGCTCTCTCTTTCAAACTCATCTCGTTCGCTCCTCTCTCTCACTCTCAGTTTTCTCTCCTTCGCACTATTCCTTTTGTCTTGCTCCTTCTCTTTCTCACCCTGTCACTCCTTTTCTTTATTTCTATTAATATTTCTCTCACTCACTGCTCTCTCTCTCCTTAGATGTCTATTACTGTAACTATACCATACTTTAACTGCCCCCCCCCCTTTAAGGTGCACTGAATAGTCTCATCTAAATCTAATCCTGCACCACAGCTGTAAAATTTCC